GGTCCCCGTTTTAACCCCCGGGTTTACCCCCCCCCCCCCCCCCCCCCATAAAACGACTCATATCTCACGTAAAATATGCCGTAAGCGGACGTTCGTATACGGTAATCCACCCAGACCACTGTTTACGGACCATTTTGTCGAACCTGGGTTACTGTACTTGGTATTCGTACAATTTTTATTTTCAATTCAAAAAATTTTTTTTTTATAGCAATAAGTTTTATAGATTTTTCATTATAGCAAGATATTCGTATTAGAAATGTGAGCATTGTAGTCTAAAATTACTATTAACATTGCGGCAATTAAAGTTCATATTCGTGATCTAGGCGACAATCTGATTCGCATGGTATAAAATTCAATTAGTTTCTTTCATTTCTTCTATGGCATCAACGTATAGCTGCACCATTATTTATCTTCTTTTCCTACCGTTTCGTATTTGCCAATGGTAAATTATACCGCAATTCGGTATATATTGGATCCTTATTTACGTCAAAAAGAATCATCCATGTCATCGATGTCTTAAGATAAAGATTAATCATAATAATTGCGACGCAATGTGAAGTGGGAACTGCGCCGCAATTGTGCATAAATGCACTGTCGCGACCGCAATTGCAATTTTTTTTATTACTTGAGCAGCATCTGTCTAGATTTGTGCTGCTATGCTACGATCACAATTGTGAACATAATGCTACAATTCGTCCGCGTTGCGTGACACAATGCTGTCATATTGCGGTGCACGTTTGCTGCAACCAAGAATATATTGTATGCAAGCTTTTCTATTTTTAAAATCACACGTTCAGTTTTTTATATCTGAAAAACACATTTGAGAAGATCTTTCAGAAATAGAATGGAAGAGAGAAAAGAATAAACTGCTGTTTTGTTAGTGAGTTTCTCACGTCTTCTGAAACGTTTTGCTAACAAATGAAAAAACCAAGAAGATAATAGATTTCTAGGCAAAATTTTTGCTTTTAGTAAACTCTTCATTAGAAATAATCAGTTGTTGTAGCTTAGTCTGCTCATTCTAACGACTTTAACACATGCGATGTGTGTAATGTCATTAAAGATCCAATCAAATGAATAGTTCTAAAGCCTGCATATAAACTTCTTTCTTTTTAGAAATATGCATTGACTTTTGTCGCTCCGCATTTTTTTATTTCATACTAAACAGCAAAGAAAATCATGAAAGATTCACTTGTTGAAGAGCAGATAGATGAACACCATTATTTAGGTAACAAGGTCCCTTTAACTCAATCAAGTATTATATCCTAGTTTTCCGTTCTTTAAACAGATGATGATGATAAAAGACCAGCGATGATTGCACAATTAGATAGCTTACAGAAACTAAAAGAGGTAAAGGAAATACATGCATTTCGTGGGATATTTTATTTTCTGTTTAATTTACCTAGATTGGCTGGTACTGGGGCTGTTTGAGCTGGAGCGAAGCGGAAAAATTATTAAAAGATAAACAAGATTATTCATTTATTGTACGCGATAGCAGTCATCGACATTATTTTCTCGCAATTACGTTTAAAAGCAATGGAAGTATTCATCATGCAAGAATTGAACATACTAATAGTAAGTCGTATCTTTAGATCATATCGGTATATTATACGAAAGTTCGACTATTCTCAGAGTCAAAATATAGTGTACTTCATCGTTTTTTGAATAACTTTTTGACGAAAAGAGATAGAGGCATGCGGTTTATAGAGGAGGCCGGTCTTTTCATCATGTCTTTTCGTAAGCAAACCAAGTTTCTTTTCGAAAGTCAGATTTCGGGAAGATCTGTGGAAAGCCAGTCTAGTTCTCTAAAACGTACAGTAGCAATGTAGTGATCTTGCAAATTCAAAAACCTAACGAAAACTGAGGTTTATGAAAATTAGGCTTTCAAGACTGTTTTTACATAATACTCAAAAATTCACTATTTACTCACAAAACGTCAGAACGAATTAAAAACTTTAGAATATGTTTAAGTTTGTCCACTAAAGATGATCATACCATCGGAAAATCGAAAAGTTCTGTATTTCCTTAAAGGCTGTCTAGATATCCCTTTAAAAACAACAGAGTTTTGTAATTGTATAGTTCTTATAAATTCATATAGAACGGCCTAAATATTATACATCTTGAAGTTTCACTAGAGATCCTGGGTTCGATTCCCGATCGTAGCATACATTTTCCTTTCACGTCTTTTTCTATTAAATTATGCCTCTTTCTCAGCCGTACAATAACAAATAGGAATCTACTTTTATACGTTGTCTCTGGGTGTTGTTCTTGAATGGTACTAAAAACTTTCTCTCGAGTTTAAACTCGAAACACCGGAACGACAACTTCTTGAGTAACTTAGACAATCGCATGAAGTTTAAAACACTGTAGTCACTGCAATAAACAATATTTTTTGTCGAATAAGTTCAATAATTTACGTTTGTGCTAATAATTGTCCAAAAAATTTGTGTTTTTCATTAGTTTACCCATCTGTTTGTGTTTAGATGCATTCAGTTTTCAAAATAATCCTTCAAAATCACAATGTACATCACCGGATGTTATCAAATTTATCGAAAATACAATTGAACATTCAAAAAATGGTCAAAATTTGTTTTTTATTCGTACAAATGTGGATGGTATGTGAAATATCTAAGGCAATATCTACAACGTTTCTTTCATTCGAGGATAATCACTAATCATAGTGTTCTCATCGAATCGTTGGGCTCAATTCTTGTACTGTGTTGTTAAAGCATACTCTCCAAATATTTTTAGGACAATCATTGACTCCTGTGCGATTATTATATCCTGTTTCACGTTTATCTCACATGACATCGTTGAAACATATATCCCGGTTTTTAATTCATCGATATATTAGGCGTGATCGTATTGAAGAATTAAATATTCCTGTACGTCTCAAAAGCTATTTGAAAGAACCACAAATTTATACAGAATTAAAACTTTGAGCAATTTTACTGTGTTGTTTTATTTTTAAATTCTATTTTGTTTAGCATCTTATTGACCAGATTACACTTTTTTATCATCCAAATTTGAGCAGAAAAGTGCCTTGTTAAAACAGTTATCTTCAAGTATCTTTCATTATTTTTAGAATTAATATATAGATGCAAGTATCATTGTGTTTTTGTTTTATTTCAGTTTTCATATAAATATTTTTTTTCTTTTCTATCGGCAATAACCATGTATTTTTTTATTTTACTTCACTATATATGTCAATATTTCGTCCATTCAAACTAATAAAATCGGTTTAGTTTGTTGTGAATCATAAAAATTTGGTAATATCTATTTATAATAGAAAATTAAACTAAAAGTTGACAATTAACAAATGTTTTCAGTTGGATTTATCAATGTTCTTTTATACTTATCTTTTTGTTCGTTGCATCCTGATCAGACAACTTTTGATCTGAAGTTTCCTGATGATTATGTTCCAGTTTTTGCTAGTATAAAGAATATCACCACTGGTATGAATAATTTTTCATGCAATGTTCAGATTATTATCGAGTGAGTAAACATGTGTATGCCAACGTTGATATTCTACTGGGTAGCAAAGGGTTACGCTTATAAATGTTAGAATTTCTCCACAAGCCTGAAGTTCCAGTGAACGGTTGTATCCAAAGATGCCGTTTCTCTGAACTGTTTGAGAATATGTTATATAACGGAGATGTGTATGATCTTTGGCTGCAACGTTGTGAGAGGTATAGTATGTGCATTGCGTGTGTTTCCACTTTTTTATACAATAGTTTTCTTGGAACGAAATACTTAAATATCAACATCTAAAAGTGAGTTGATTAGATTAACGAGCCTATTTGACTTGTTGATAATATCAATTTCGCAAAGATCAAGATGGACGAGGGCACTAATAAGTGATTTTGCTTCGGCTATCCGTTTCAAAAAAGAGTGCCGATGAATATTTTTTAAATAACTTTTGATAGGAACAAAATAAAGACATTAAGTTTTCACTATCCGATAACCAAGACCGGGGCACGTGATTTTATGGAAAAAAACTTTTCAAAATCTCTCGCGAGGGTTGGTTTTGGATGAGATTTTTGAAAAAGCAGATTGGTATTCCGCAAGTTGTTATACAAATATTTTCGTTTTTCATTTTTTTTGCAAGACAGGACAGGTTAGTTTTAATTAATTTATTTAACGAGGATTGTAATATACAAAAAACTTTTCCTCTCAGGTTACCAGGTCACAGGTTAGGACAGGCTATAGGTTATGGAAAAATTGTAACCTGCAGGGCTCTATTAGACAGTCCAAAGTGTTCTCTTTGATGTGGAAACTAAGCAATCTGTCAAGTTTTTTGTGGTTTAAATGTGGCATCAGATTTCTTTTAGGTCCCAGGATGGGTATTCCTTTAGGTGTATAATCTCGACGATGAATGGAAACTTAGGTTATCGACTACTGAACTAGATCTCGTGGCAATGTTTGTTCTCGAAAGGAAATTTAAAAGCCCAGTAATAACCTATATTAATAATGGGGTCAAAATACAGTGGTATTCCGTCGTGTTTTGACTAATATTTTTAACAAAAAGAGATAGAGGCATGCGATTTTTACTGATGGATAGAGGAGGCCGGGGTATATCTTTTCGTAAGCAAAGCAAGGTTCTTTTCGAAAGTCGGATTTTGAAAAGATCTGTGGAAAGTCAGTCTAGTTCTCCAAAACTTACAGTTATAATGTAGTGATCTTTTTGCGTTGATAGATAGCTCAAACGTGTCCTCTTCAAAATGGGAGCCAAACGCGACCGTGATTTTCAGTGATTTTGCATTCTGCGAGAGTTCAACCAGTGAGTCGATGGTGTTTGAGGGAGACACTTCATAGCGCGATCGTATCTGAATACCAAATATTTGTAATAAGGCCATTTTTTCTTCACTTTATTATAGTTAGTTTTTCAATGATGAAATTTATATTTAGTATTTGCATATATTAAAGTTTGTCTCGAGTAAACATGTCGTTGAAATCACGTATCCTTGATAATTTCACTTTTGACATTTTGTGTTAAAAAAACAATGAACACGTAATGAATAAAATAGCAAGTACTTTTTCCTATTCTTCTAAAAAAACGCCAGTTTATTTTCAAAAGCCAATAGAAGTAAATGACGAAACACAATTGTGCATATCATATATGTGCCTTAGTTAATAGTTAATGTTAGAACTAATAGAAGCACAGAGAAAAATCACATGTTTTCTGTCTTACAATGAACGAGTGTATTTATCTAACCGCTCTCTTGAACAATGTGCCAATACGGTTGAGATCGAAAATAAAAATCTTAAACGCAAGAAATGCTCTTCTTCTGGTTCAGTTTCTTCTATAAATTATTAATCAATTAAATGTAAAAATAACCGATATTTGATTGACCGACTGTTTGCGAAGGAGGGAAGATGGTTAGGGACAATGAATGAAGAAATGACATCGAAGTCGTTAACCTTCGATTGTAGAATTCAACTGAAATTTTTTTTTTAATTACTTTAGTAAAGTTGAAGAAGTCGAAAATAGTAAAGAAAGAGAACGTTGGCCGTCGAATACAACTTACTTGTTCAACTCGACTTCACTGAATTTTTTCAAAACGTAGAGAATAATCTCGCTTCCATTTTGCTCAAGTGTCGGACGCGCTCAAACATCAATTAGAATCAATCGAGAGAAATTACCAGCTGTCCTTATTTATCTACAACAACCAGTATAGTATGCCTCGTCTACAATATATACAAGTACAAAACTAATATCTAATTTTAAAACGAATTATCGACGACGGCTAGCTGTGAATTGCTAGTATCAGGCAGATTGTTTTCCCATTATTAACAAATTGTAAAACGGCAATTTGTAATAGAGTATTGATAATAAATACACGTACTTGAGCGACTTCTTAATGTTTTTACAAAGTATCGAGAGAGTCTCTCTAATGTTTAATTTACCAAGGATATAAATAACTTACAAATGACAGCAAACCTACAAAAATCAAACGACATGCCGAAGTTGAAGGATAATTTAACTGCAATAAACAATTTATTTTAATGATTCAAACCAATTTTTTCACACTTACGTTTTTACTCATAATTTTCAATCAGAGTGGAGGTCGTCTTTTCATTATTGTCTGTGCTTTTTACCTGCTGATTACCTGTGAGTTTATGTTTTAGTATAAAAAAATTATTTCATATAGTAAGAGCTCACTTACTGTCGTAGAAAGTAACTACATCTACGATAAAAACATATAGAATTTATTTTGGAATAGACTTTTTGCAATTGTGAAGGTATTAGTAAAAATCAGAAAGTTCAACAGGACTTCTACAGCATTTATGAAATAACGTATTAAAGTACATATATAATGTTTTATAACTCTAACTCTGCCAAATAACCTTGAAATAAAAAGGTAGTTATTTGATTTATGATACAAATATCATAAATAATACAAAAAGAACATATGTATATACTAAAAAAAATATCAAAAAAAAATTTTTTTTGATTTTTTTTATGATCTAGTCACTAATTAGATCTTTCAGAGGTGTTAATCATCTGAAAAGTAGTTAAGTTTAGATGAAACGTTTAGTCAGCTGCCTTTCTATTGAGTTAAATTTTTTGATAATTGTACTCAAATTTTTTTTCAATCAGAATAGTCTTAACAAATTGTCTCTAAAAGATAATAAGTAAGCCTGGTTGTAATACCTATTTTCAGGGTCATAAAATCAATTGCATCATATACGCCGACCTATCTTTTTTCTTAATCATAAGTCTAACAATTATAGATTTCACGCTTAGTTAAAAAAAAAAAGAAAAAATATAAGTCGATTTTTTTCTCTTATCAGCTGTATTTTCAATTTTAATAACTAGTTAAAGAAAAGAAAGAAAAAAAAGTCAAATTTGTGTGTATGTTATGTCAACAGTAAGCTGACATACTGGTAAAATGACAAGAAAAAAAAGTTTACTGCTGCTGTTCATATACATTATTATTATTACTCTATGATGTATGTGTACAGCATGTTTAATAGGAAAAAAAACGAAATATAATGTAAAATAAGCCACACACATATTTATATAGAAGAGAACAAAAAACATCAAGTAAATTTTCCTCCGAAAAAAAAACGAAGAAAAATAAGTCTAAAATATTCACTTTTTTTCTAAATATAGGAAGAAAAAGCAAAAAATCATCAGCAGTTTTTGAGGACAATGAATCAAGAATTGGTACTAGTTTTGAGTGAAAAACTGCTGCTTTAAGTCATATTGACTATTATCGTTCAAGAGAATATTAATATCATAAAGTGTTATTTAGTATACACGTCATATGTTTTTCCTAGTCTCTTCTCATCGAGAAAATGCTCAATGTTTTCATTGTAATGATTTCGTTCATGACATATAGTCATATACAAGGTTATATAATACGTCCACAAGGAACATTTTATCAACAACAACAGCAATCGTCAAATAATCGATGGTATTATTCAAATATGAACGATAATATTCGAACAAAATGGCACTGGACACATAATGATGTACCATCATCAAATTATTACAGAAATATTCCAGATAATGGTGATCAATTCTCTTCAATGTTATGTGGAAGTAGTAAAACATCGATGCGGTTTTCTCGCATTATGGGTGGACAAGATGCAGTACCGTATTCGTATCCTTGGATGGTATCATTAGCAAAACGATCAATCAACAATCAGCATTTGTGTGGGGGAGTAATTATAAGCAGGCAGCACGTATTAACAGCTGCCCACTGTATCGAAGATTTTTCTAATGCTGATGATTTAAGCGTTTTTATGGGTATTCATTATGCAGTAGGGAATCTTAATCCATATCAAGCTATGGAATGGGTAATTCATCCAAAATATGATCCTGAAACATTTGCAAATGATATAGCAATCATTACATTGAGAACACAAATACCTACTAATGATGAACGAATAGGCATCATTTGTTTACCACCAGATGATACAGGAAAGACCTATCCACCTATAAAAACATCAGCAGTCGCCATCGGTTGGGGATCAACATCATTTGGTGGAAGACCGTCCGTTGCGTTGAAACAAGTGGCTATACCGATTTTAGATTCAGATAAGTGGCCATGTAATATCTATCTAACTTTTCCAGAAGGACAAATATGCGCTGGGGAATTATCTGGTGGAGCAGACACATGTCAGGCTGATTCAGGTAGTGATGATTGAAAATCTTTATAGTTTTTAAATAAATTTTTATTGTCTCTATTGATCACACCTCAGATTGAAAAACACCTTGTTTTGGGTAAAATGTGACAATCAAAGTCAAATATAAATGAAATTTTTATTTTATTATACATAAAGATTGTTTTGGGAAGATATCTAATTTTTACTATTAATGAACCAATTTAACTTTTAAACGTTAGCCTTACCTTATATTTTTCAATTTAGGTGGCCCATTGATGATTGAGAATAATAATGCGCGTTGGGAGATTGTTGGTATCACGTCATTTGGCAAAAGCTGGTAAGTTTTCTCAGAACTACGTATTAACTATCGAAACTGACAATGGACGTTTTCGGTTTTCTTTTTAGTGGTAAACCAAATACGCCTGGTATTTATACTCGTGTGAACACTTACAATAGTTTTATACGTTCAACTATAGCTCATCATCACTACTCATCTTCCATGAAAAATGCTTCATCATTGAGTTATTTATTAATATTTCTTTTTGTAATAGCAATTTTCGGTGGTAGGAAAGATAGTTAAGAATAGTTATCAAGTTTTCATAATCATTCAGATAGTTGTTTTTTATACGTTTATTTTTATATATGTGAATTTTTTATACTCAATTTGTACATTAACACATATTTATTTAGGTAAAAATAATTATTAAACATATTGAAAAAGTTGTGAACTGAATGACTGACATTTATTTCCCAGTGTTAATCAACAAGTCCGTATGATTAACAAGTCATCTTTATAAGAACGAGTAACAACATAAAAGGTAACAATGTAACATAAATATGTTGAAAAAACTGCCTGTCTTGAAATCTATATTTAATATTGGCTGACATGTAATTTATTACACTTATTAATAGAAAAAAACGTGTATCTATCAAATTATTTCTATATCATAGTGGGATATTCATGACTGTCAAGTAATTTGATCACTTTATCATTTTAAGAAAATTAATATTTTGTCGAATTAGAACTTGCCGCTAACGCACTGTTGTTTATAAAAGAAAATATACTATTATAAGAGTAAAGAAATAGAATCAATAGCAACGTTTTTCTGTGTTGCATAAATTAATTGCATTCTATCGATGACTCTACTGCAGTACTTTATATATATTCTTGAACTATACTAAAATGAAATCACTTGAGATTTCTATACCTGCTGTCTACAGATTATAAAAAGAAATAGAGAAGAGGAAGAACAATTTTTTAGATCAATTAATATTAATACTACCCTCATCTTCAAGTGAATGGAGTTCCAAACTAGTATTTTCAGAATAAACCATATCATTTACCATGATGTATGACTAGCGATTTTTATTTAAACTTCGATGTTACTACCTTACTGTAGATTTCGCTCTCCAACGAGGCAATATGTTTACGATCTAAAATTAATATATATATATATATATGGTAAGTGGTAATGTGAAGAACAAACGTATATATTATGTCCATTCCGTAGTTTTTAGAGGCGTAAGGACGGGAATATTTCGTATATACATCGGACTACCACAAGGTAGTGGTCTAAGCCCGCTCATTTTTATTATATATCACGCAGATTTAGTTAAATGTGCAGGCGCCTTTTCGTGTCATTTATTTGCCGACGATCTGAACGTCCTTATAGTCCCCCCCGCCATGAGGAATCTATCTACCATGATTGAATTCTTGAGTGAGGAGGGAACTAAAGTATGTAACCGGCTATTAAGCTACTCCAAAAAGTGGAAGCAGCCCATCAATATCTCCAAGACTGTAGCGCAAGTTTTCTATTCACAAGTCCGGAAACCTAATATAATAGTCCTTATGGGTGATGACATAATTGAGATCGTTTCTAGATTTAAATATCTAGGATTTACATGGACAGATAAACTTCCACTAAAGCCCACTGTTGACAAATGTCTAGAAAGCATACAAAAATCATTTAACAAATTAAGATGGTTAAAAAGAAACAAAAACATTGCAACAAACGTACTTAGACTATGCTTTTACGCTTATTCCTTCCCCTATTTTGCCTGGATTTTTCCGTTCTTACCCCTACTTCCCTCTACGCAACAGGAACTCCTATACCGAAAGTATCGAGTAGGACTCCGGTTAGTTTACCGTTGCCCGTTCGTAACGGCAAGTAATCTCCGTGATTTCACTAATGAGCCAGACTTAACTTTCCATGTTAAGAATTATCTAGTAAAAAGGCTATTATCGTCTAGTGAATCAGATCTCGGTCAATCCTTGTTTATAAATGACATCTTCTTTTGGGACAATTTCAGGAGTAGCAAGGATTGGAAGGTAGGTAACTTCTTTCGCATTAAGAGGGTTAAACAAATGATTAGCAATCATGAATCTTTTTTATGTAAATGGTTGATCTTTATAACTCGTTTTTCCGAATGATGAAATAGAAACCCGGTTTTAGAAAATGCATACTACATTTTTCTCATAATACTTCCCTACTGTTTTTTATATTTTTATTGTACCGGCAGTGTAGGATTATCAATATTTTTATGTTTGTTTTAATGTATTGGGAATTTTTATATACCTATTTTTGCAAGTGCCTAAGGGCGTCGCAATAAAATGCAGAATGCAAAAAATGTCCATGGTCACGATTATTCTTGTACTTCACCGACATAATCTTTGTTGCGGTAATCTAATTTTTCTATTTTCGAACGCCATATTATTTTTCCATAAAGATACCTAAACGATTAAATCAGTAGTTTTCTCACATTTCAATGAGATAATGAAAAAAACATGCTTAACAATAGCAGATATCGTGACCCCGGTAAAAGTCCTATGAGTTTCTTGACAGGATCCGAGATATATTTGATCAGTATACTACTAGGATTTCGCTTTAATTTCTTGGGATCATACTAAAATCCTACGGAATCCTAATGAAATGAGGTATATCCAAAAGTTATAGGATTTTCTAAGATTCTGTTAGAATCCAAAACAAACTTACGGTGCACCCCTCCCCCCGTCAGAAACGCATCTCGGTAGCCGTGAGTTAGATCTCGACCAAAATTTTAGGCAATGTTGACCTTATGATTGTGCTCTTTCCGTAAAATTTTGCCGAAGTCATCTATCACGGTTTCAAAGATGTCGCTCAATTAGGGGTCAAAATGAGGCTGTCCGTAGTTACAAGCTTCTTCGGTAAGGCAAGATCGTGGAGAGCTCTGGAAGGTCTTAAAATGACAAAAACACATCTGAATAGAAGCTAATAGAGCCGGGTTTTTTATATTTTAGTTTCGCAAATAATGGTAAGCGTCAAAAGCCAAAAATCCGAAGAAGTCTCATTAACTTGCATAAAGATATTTGTCTGACCACAAATCTAGGCCAAATATCAAATATCGAGCTCTATTAGCCTCTAGTTACATGTGTTTTCGTCATTTTAAGACCCTCCTCTGCTCTTCAGCGCGTTTCGTTATTGAGAAAGCTTGCATCTACGAAACGCTGTCAACTTGAACACTGCTTTCGAGATACGGTAGCGCTAGCGTCTGATGCCTATTTTACGGCTTCTAGCAAAACTCTCATAATGTTTTATTAGAACATCGTCCGAAGCTGGCCGATGTCTCATTTTGATCAGAAATGTTTGCTCTACATTCTGGTATTATTAAAAGTATTTTTGAATTCATTTTTTAGGGCTAAAAGCGAAATCCCAATAGGATCCTAGCATTTCTGGATCCTGCAAGAACCTAGTAGGAAATACACTGGGCACGCGCAGGATTTTGTCTAGGGGAAAGCATTCTGTTTATACAATCACCATTACGAGTATCCCGATATTGTGGAAGATACGATCATTTTACCAAAAATCTAAAAGATCTGCATACATTTAAGTATACGGGGTGATCAAAGAAAAAAGCTGTTTACTGTTTTTTTGTTTTGCTGCCCTGGTTTACACAAAACCTTCATTTCTTGAAGTGCATATTCGACCTAGATTTGTGGTCAGACAAATATCTTTATGCAGGCTAATGAGACTTTTTCGGATTTTTGACTTTTGACGTTCACCGTTATTTGCGAAACTAAAATATCAAAAATCTGTCTCTATTCACCTCTAGTTTTTCGAGTTGTACATACATATTCTTGATTTTATACGTTAATTCTTGAGTGTTTGCTGTTCAAAACGTTTTATATTGTAAATGTACAATGTATGGCTGCATTTTTGACTGGAATAGGAATCAGCGTTCTATAAGATTGTTCATTTTAGATTTTGAAGTGGTGTTTTAATTGTTCAGCTACTTGTTCAACAGTTACTTTTAGATGATAATTTTAAATGATTCAAATCATCTACGATCGTCGTTTTAAATCTTTAAAATTTCATCATTATCCCTACACAATTAACAAATGTAATTTCTCACATCTTTCTTGGTCTGTTAAGTCAATGTATATGTCACAGTAGAATTTAAAATTCTGCTAGTTGAAATTAAAATTTCATTTTCTACTATTTCTACTGGGAAAAATTAAAAAACAAGCGGTGTTTTTAAGTTGCACTAGTAGAAATTGAAATTTTAATCTCTACTACAGGAGAAATTAAAATACACATCTAGGTGGCTGATGATATGTACAAGCACACGCATTGTTTATTAGCAAGAGAGGCAGCAGCATAGGAAATTGTTGAATATACGAAAGAGTTTACATCTATATATCTGAACACTGTTTCTTTTTGGTAGGATGGCATTTTGTACCATATGGTACTTTAGCTGCTTTGCATGGACAATTTTGAAAAAACCGATATTTTACCATGCAAAGTCATTTTAATACAATCATCATGTGATAATATGAATACCCATCGTCTTTGTACAACAAAATCTATCTCCAAGGTATGGTGTTAGTGATCTCATATATTTAACAAAATGTAATTTTTCTGAATTATATGCAATTGATTCTCAAACATTACCAACACAAGCTTGTAAAGATTATGTGAGTAGTGGTGTTAATCCAGTTTCAGAAGCTTGTGTTCGTAATGGTGGTTGTGCTACAATAAAATTTGAAAAGAAACACTTGACTGTTA